ACTTAACAACTTCAGATCCAAGGCGCAATCATGAATGGAATGTGGTGTACGAGTCTCGTGCACACGGCTCTTCTCGCCATCAACCGTGCCGTTTTCATCGTTTTCTTTCAAAGTTATCGTCGAATTTTCAAAGAACCCGTTTTCTATGTGAGTTTTTAAATGAATCATCTACAGGGTGCGCCAAAAATTCCCGTACTTGTATTTTCTGCATTTTTGGTAATTTTAGATAAAAGATCCGATTTTAAAAGTAAGAAATTCGAATTCCTCACAAAAAACTGATTTATTGGGTTGATGCATAATTATCCGGACTTCTTTTATAAATGATTTTATTTAACAAAAAATAACATAAATAGTTAGAAAAATATGTTTAATTGATTATTCTGGAGCATATTCACCGCCTACATCAATAACTGATTGCCATTTGCTTGGAAGACGATCGATTCCACGAGCGAAGAATAAACGATCTTTGGAGGCAATCCACGCTTTAACATCGTCTATCAAGTCATCCAAATCGTTGTAGATCTTATTTGTTTGCCAATTTTTGAGCGATCGATTGACGTGGTAGTCCGTTGGGGCTTCTCCAGTTCTTTGAGATCGCGAAACGACTCTGCGGCAGACCATCCCTTTTCGAAGTGGTAGAGCATGATATGGCGAAGATGGATATGATTGTCGACACGCATTTTGTTCACTAAAGAATAACGAATATTTAAAAAAAAGAAATAGACAAAAAGCTTTCAAAACAAAAAAGATACAAGCACGCAAAAAGAAGTCCGGATAATTATGCATCAACCCAATAGAAAGCGTTTCTGGTTAATTTATAAGTGCAACGCTATTTAAGACAATTGATTGAGAAGCGGGCCCGCTCAGGGGCTCTTTGGTCGCACAGTTACAGGGCACAGTTACAGGGCACAGTTACAGGGCACAGCTACAGGGCACAGTTACAGTTATTTCCTTTGATGGAAATTTGTATGGGAAAACCAAGTTCTAACCTGACTTCTGACTCGGTCGTTGACCAAAACTTTATACACCCAATATAAAAAATGTCACAAAAAATGTCCATAAAAGTTACAGGCCTGAAGCTCCAAAAAAATGTGCGACCAAAGCGCCTGTACCAGAGCGCCTGTGCCCTGTAACTGTGCCCTGTAACTGTGCCCTGTAACTGTGCCCTGTAACTGTGCCCTGTAACTGTGCCCTGTAACTGTGCCCTGTAACTGTGCCCTGTAACTGTGCCCTGTAACTGTGCCCTGTAACTGTGCCCTGTAACTGTGCCCTGTAACTGTGCCCTGTAACTGTGCCCTGTAACTGTGCGACCAAAGCACCCCTGAGCCGTCCCTCTTCTCAATCACTTGTCTTAAATAGTGTTGCACTTATAAATTAACCAGAAACGTTTTCTAAATCAGTTTTTCGTGAGGAATTCGAATTTCTTACTTTTAAAATCGTATCTTTTATCTCAAATTACCAAAAATGCAGAAAATACAAGTACGGGAACTTTTGGCGCACCCTGTATTCTTTCCTAAGGCTATTCTTTCCTAAGGCTATTCTTTCTAAATCTATTCACTTTCAGATATGCATGACAATTTGTTGGTCATTTTTCCTTATCGTCACCATTGTTGATTTGACTGATTTCAGTCTCATGGTTTACGTCTTACCCACTTACACTTTTCAGTATTTGGTGAGTGGAGTAAAGTGCTTTAAAGCCTCGATCGGATACCGTAATCCTAGTCTAGACAGTCGATCTTACAGTAAACCAAGAGTTGCCTTTGGCTCCCTATCAAAATAACCACAAATTTAACGCAAAGTTACGCAATTTAACGCAATTTAACACAGTTTAACGCGTTGGTGCCCAAGTCTTTGCAATTTTTTGCGAAACATTATTTAAAAACAATGCCGCCAGCAATAAAATTTCTTTTTAAACTATTAAAAAGCTTGATTGTTTCTCTGCAAAATGGCTTTTTGGAAATTCTCGAAAGTCGTTGTTTTTGAAGATTTTCAAATGCACAAAGGCAAGCACCCAAAACCTCTCCCAATGCTGAAGCCTTAATTTCAACACTTTCTTCAATACAAACCTATTTTGGTGAAAAAGTAAAAAAGATAGAGCTTATTTCATTACATAAGTCTGTAAAATTTGAAAACGATTCGTCTAGCAATTTTCTTTAAAACAGCAATTGAAAATTTTAGTTAAAAAATTTTAGAAAAAAAAATTTTTACCGAGTTGAGACGAGCTTTCGGCTTTCTCTAAAAAAGCCGTTTTGTAGAGAAATGATAGACCAAAAGCTATCAAAAGATCTTTTTAATATTAGGTTGATGCAAAAGTCTTTTTCATTTTTTTCGTACTTCTGTTAAAAAGTAACGAATTCACGAATTAATCTATAGTTTGCTCTATAAAAAAAGTGTTTTTTTGTTCAATTTGCATCTTTTTAAATGAATTTCGGTTCACTTTCAAAAATACCGACTGGGGCTACCAGTGGTGAATTTATCGCATACACGAAATATATCAATCACAATACAACGACACACACAATACTAGGCTATATCTTAACTTAACCCACGTCATGACAGACGGCTCCTTAACCCTAAGCTCAATGGGGAACTAAATAGCTTTTTTGGTGGTGAAGGGAAGATGACGATGAAGGAGTGGCTTGTCACTTTAAAGAACTGGGGCCACAACCACCAGACTGCCCTCCAGAAAACCTCTCAACCCGAAGGGAAAGGAAATCCGAAGGGGGTGACCATGTCGCATGTGGGGTTCGAACCCTCGACCTTCCGATTAAGATAAAAGACACTTAACCAGTCAGCCACACGTGCTCTTTCAAGCAAATTCGAGAGTGAAAAACGCCTTTTTCGTAAAAATCTATAAAAAACTCTACGGAAAAATTGGCTGAATGAATTTCTCTGAAATTTTGGCGAAATATCAAACGTTTTTTTTCTCTATCTTTTATCTATTGACACGAAGATAGGTTTTCTTTAGCTAAGGTGTCTAAACCGCATCATCGAGTTAGCCCTTTTTGACTACCCGACTTCATACTCTCAAGAAAATCCAGGCATTCAATATTTTTAAACCCGTTTTAATGTTATTTTGCAGAAAAATAATTGCTTTTTCTAATGAAATCAACCGTAGTTTAATTCGTGCATTTGTTGGCTTGAAACGGCAGACGAAAAGGAACGAAAAGACTTATGCATCAACCTAATAGTTTCGGTTGCAACAGATTTGGTAAAGGTTTCTTTTTGGAACCTTTACTTTGGAAATTTACTTTGAACATTTGGTAAAGGAAACAAAAAAAATTTGCAAAGACTTATGCATCAACTTGTGCAACGTGAGGATTGAGTGAAAGTGATAGGAAGAAAGTGAAACATCGTGAAAGGTAGAGCGCGTTCCTCGCGAGTAAGTAATTACTCGAGTAAAATCTGCATGAGTACTTTTTACTCGATTAATCGACGTTTTTCATCGAGCAACTACGAGTAATCCTCTTTACACATCGAGTAAATTGAATATCTTTACATCCATTTCTGAACAAATCTTAATCCAATCAACGCATTGTGCAACAGAAAGACGAAAAATAGTCTTAGAACTTTTGTTGCCAACGAAATTAAGCTTACAAAGCTAAACAAGTTCAAATTTCGATCTGGATTTTAGCTGAAATTTGAAATTTGGAGCTTCTTTCGTAAAGTGTGTGGGAACTTTTCGATCATCCTCTACAATTTTCGTTTCTCATATCATCACATAGCATCATCGTTTAACCTTTGTTCAGGCCGAATACCCGTGGGGAGGCACAGTGCGCGAGTTCAGCAATCAGCTCATCCTGTACTCTGTTCTTCTCGCCGCCATCTCATACATCGTCATTTTCGTCTACGTTTTCACGCATACAGCGCCTTCGAAACGGGAACTTTTGCTCACGATACAGGTTCGAAATTCGAAATATTGCAATCACTTGAAGAAAATTTGCCCACCTTTCACTCGGGGCATGCGCTCTAAAGCGTGACTCGACTACCGTAACCCGGCATTCATTTAGTAAAGGTTACAGTAACCCAAGTCACGATTTAGAGCGCTAATACCATGGCTTCTGCTTCAAGCTTCAAGCCAACGAAAAGAGTGTAAAAGTCGCCTCAAAAAGCCCACACTTTCCCCATTTCTTCAGGTTTTCTTCATTTGCTCATATAGCGTTTTCGGCTACTGTATCTGGACGTATTGCCCGGTTGTGGACAGTCCAACCGCGTACTTTGCGTGCAATTTCATTTGGGTTCTTTGGAATGGCATCAATCCATACATTATGGTTTTATTCAATCGGTGAGTGAGCGCAAAAGTTCGAATAAATTCATAAATTCGAAATTTCAGAAAGATTCGTGAGGTGTTGACGAGCCATCGCTTCATTCAAATCATCACCGGGTGAGCGGTTGTTTCTTTGTTTGAGCTCAAAAATCTTAACCGTCTAAGTTCTTGTCCAGTTCAAACATTTCGATGTCTAGTTCTAACTCATCCGCTATGTTTCCACGGTGATTGAATTGTGATGTTATTTTGTCGACGTCCTTTGTCCATGGAATTGACAGATCGCAAAAAGTATCGGTAGATAAAAGGCCAAATAGAATCAATTTCTAACAAGATGTTCACTAACTCCTCGACATAGTTTAGTCTGGAAAGCGGCAAAACTCGCAATCCAATTGCTGAAAGAGAATTCTATCCGACAAGCCTTACTAACAATACACTTTAGTGACGCGAAATCACTCGCTTCAAACGTAAGCGTGATACCGCGTGCACGAGCGTCAAGCTTTAATCAAGTGACGGTGATCTCGAATCTCGCAAAGAACCCCGCTATCCGACCGGCTTCTACTCCGCCAAGGTGAATCAATAAAGATTTTCGAATTTTTTCTCACCCCAAAACTTTTCACAAAAACATTTTATCGGTAAAGTTCTATACAAAAACAAACAACATTGGTAAAAGATAACAAACAAAGCACAATCGAATAAGGGTTTAACAAACAATCATTCCTTTCGGCTATTCTTATCCTTTTGTTTCAACGGTTGCTGCAGTTGGCTGTGGTTTGTGCTGATCGTTGTTGTGCTTGAAGACGATAGATTCTCCCTAAATAAAAACAATGAAAAATTAATTTAGAATGGTTAACTTTTTGCTTGCAATTAGCCTCAAATTGTTTACCAATGCCAACACTCAGTAAACAAAAGATTGCAATGTGTTATAGACAAACTATTCATTTGGGTCTCGACTTAAAGCTCCATTTCTTATTTTTTTATGAAAATATCATACCTGAATTGTTATCCGAGGCTTAACAATCGATGACGCCCTTTTGCTAGCATCTTTGTGCACTTCGTATTTGATAATTTCCTCGTCGGGCACATTCATCTTAGCTTTGAAAATTTTGCCAATTTGACTGTTCACCGAATCCTGAGAAGCATCATGTGTCCATAGTGATATCTGAAAACAAAAGAGATTGCGCTTAAATAATAAATATCCAACCTTGTCACCCTTGTTGCGTACATTCAAAACCGCCCCACAGATGTGGTCTCCATAGTCGCCAAATTGCTCGCCAACAATCGCCATCAGAAGCTCGAGCCAGTAATCGTCGAGGAATTGTTTCCTGAAAAAAAAACTCCATTAACGAATATATGAATATTTTGAATCTGAAGCCATATAGCATCTTTTCAGCGAGTTTTCACCCGCCTTTACACAAACACAAAAACCCAGAGTTCATAAAACTTGATTGAACTAAACTAGTAAACGTAGGAGCCCAATATACCTTTTATGCTTATCGACAACCATTAACCATCGACCTCCATCAACGTTTTGCTTATCCTCCCACATTGGACGAATACCCTGAATATAACTTTAACCAAAGCAAACCGAAAGTATAGTACCTCTTTAAAAAGATAGTAGTCAGAGCCCCAATTGAGTGATGATGGCGCGGCAATGTTGTTGAACAGCGACCAAAAATCTTCAACTGAGTCGAACGCGATCACTTGCTGCAGACAATCTTCCCAATCGCGATTTCTGTCTGCCTAAATTCAACAAAAGTTGTAAATACATTATATGCGACATAATATATGCAAACTATATAAAGAGACGTTGCACACACAAAACTAATCCTACGACATAAAGTGTGTGGTTTATAAAACTAGCATTAACTTCATTTGTTTAACTAAACTGAACTGTTTAACTGAACCGTTCACTACGTGCTAAGGAGCTTCGTGAGCTAGTCACTCTGACAATAATTTCCTAGTTTAACATTAATCATTTAATCTTTGATCGTTATAATTTCATAATCTTTCGAGAATTTCTGAATTCTACTTGAAAAGTTATTCTTGCGTATTCATGGTATCCATGCATGCGTAAAAAAATAATAAATTGAGCTTTAAGTCGAAACCCAAATTAATAGTTTTTCTGTAACACATAGTAATCTTCTGTTTACAGAGTGTTGGCATTCTTGACAAGAAATTACGCTTATTACTTTGCGCTTGACAACCACCACAACAGCCCTCCAGCGCTCCATTTTCCACAAACAGCACACAAACTAACCTTCAGAAACCATAGTACCCAGCGACGTTGCAATTGATGACGAACAGGCAGCAGGGGCGGAGCGATGCCGGTCGTTGAATGGTTGCCGTCTTCCGTCAGTTTCCTCTCTGTTTTCTCGATTGCCATCACCTCCGATGACACTTCGCTGGACATCAGGTCTAAAATAAAAATTAAAGTGTGTCTGAGTCAAAAACAAGAAACGAGAAAAACAAAGACGACATAATATATGCCTGTGATCGTGAACCTCAATCGCTAAAATCAAAGATTTTGTCTTACCAATGATACGAGTTACAAGCCTGAAAACAAATGAAATGAAAAGAAATTCGCCAAGGCCTAACCATTTTCCCTAACGGGTAATGAATCTTCAGCCGCTCAACTGACTATCTTTTCTTTTCAAATAGATATTACAATAATCTCCTCGACAACCTTCATAGATTTGTATCAGAAAAAGCGCCAAACCTGCATCAATTTTAAACTTTTCACCGAATATGAATTCCTCCAATTCTACATTCCTCGCAAAAAAGGACTTCAGGTATCTTCGGCAGCACTCCTTCCTATACATTTCGAGTGTCCCCCTTTTGCCCCCCTAAGTGTCCCCCTCAAAGTGTCCCCTTTTTGTCCCCCTAAAGTGTCCCCTAAGGACACTTTAGGGGGACAAAAAGGGGACACTCGAAATGTATACTCCTTCCTCGAATTTCTCAGCATTTACATTTAATTTCCTTACAACGATTTATTTGCAACAAAAGTTAATGCAAATTTTGCACAAAAAAACAAAAAGTGGCAACATGGATTAAACATACTTATAAACATTGTTCATGGCGGTAAATTGTTTTGTTGCCGATGATGTTGACAATCGTAGGCGGGCAGAAGTTTTTCATTACTTTCCTAAAAAGAGCGTTGAAGACTACTACTGAAGACTAAGAATACTAGAAGAATTATTAAATCATTCATGCTAATCATTATGATTTTAACGATTATAAAACCTGATCTTGTTTTGAATTTTAAATCTAATGTATACAACAATAAAACTCACTGGCAACCAGTGCACGTATTGTAAAAAACGTCCCCAAACTTTGCTAATGTATAGTTCATCTTAGCCATGTCGTTTGGATTCGTCGAGAAGGATGAATCGGACTAAAAAGTGATTTGATTAGAGTTTACTTCTTTGAAAAAACTCTTGCATCGATACGGCTTTTAAAATCCCAATCCGATAATAGTAGCTATATTCTATTTGCAATTGCAGTAGGATAAAATTTTTGAATCAAAAAGCTTGACCTTTTTCACTCATAAGTAGACATGTGATAATGTTTTTTGTAAAAGCCAAATGTTTAAGTAGCAGATAACTTTAAAAACTAACCAATTTGTTAAGCAGCTCATTTGCACGAATCGTAAGTGATTTGTAGACGTGGTAGCGACTCTCATAAGTGATATTTAACTTAATGAAGATCAGATTCAAATTACGACGTAACAAGTACCCTGTTTCCCCAGCAGTCGTCATCGATTGGCCAATTCTCGTGTCCGCCAATAAAATTTACGTAGTGAAGCTCTCCATCAATCACTAGCATCAAAATGCGCAGTCGAGGGATGAACGATCCACGAAAGAAAGTGCCACATCGCAACTAAACAATATAATGTCTGAGTGAAGCATTAGTTCATAATAGTTTGGATGTACCATTAAAACGCACTTCTGCAACAGATGTTGATGGTTGAAAATTTTTCGCCAAATAGCTTATCTGCAAATGGCGCCTCGCTTCAAAAAAATTCGATTGAACCTGAAAATTTAAAAGATTGAACAATATGTAAAGCTTCAATATAATCCTGTATTGTAGAAAGTAGAGCTTTAACATATTAATCTGAATACAGTTTTGGGCTATTCATTGTTACTACTTAAAAGATTAAAACATTAATGTCTAAAGGCTTAAAGGTTCTGTATATCTGATAAAAACTTTAGCAACATCCTTATTCTTATACCTATTGCTTTACTGAAGTTTGTCATCTAGACGTTTAGTTGTAGCTATTATAAATAGCTTTCCACCAAATTATAAATACTCACAAGTTGAAAAATCTTCTGGAATCGCTCATGTGCTGCCGATATCACCACTTTTGGCCTCAATGGTTGCTTGATGCTTATCGGAGCCTTCTTTTCTGTGACTATTCCCGCTTCGTGCATCTCATTCAACGAAAAGGCGTAAAACATCTAAAATATCTCGTTAAAAGCCATAGCATAACAAAAAACCAACCAGATTTCTATCATGCCACATTAGTTGCTCAAAGAATTGATTGATTTGCGACTTGTACTCAGGCTCCTAAAGATAAAATTGAATACATGGATGATGAATTTCTTTTCCTCATGCACAAAAGAATTAATTCGCTTAAGACATGTTGCAAAAAGAAGATACCTTTGCTGTTATCTTTAGAAGACACCTTGTCAATTCGAGATTACTTCTTCGATCTTGATTTAAAAGATCGATCTAGCAATTTTCAATTAAAAAAGTCAAACTACCTAGGTACTTGTGCATCTTACGCTACTAATTTCATATTTAAAATAGCCAACAAGACTTGTGGGATAGTGCCAAAGATTTTTCAACATAATCAATAACAAATTCCCCAAACTTACATTCTCCGCAAGTTGCACATTGGTAAAGAAGCTGTTGACGATATCCGTTGGGAAGATGTTCGGCAAATCACTCAATGTCGCTTGCAATTGGTCGAATTCTTTCGTCAACTTCTTGATGAGTCCTTTTCGATCAACCGTCGCATTTAGTGTCTTCAGGTATCCTGCAGTTTCCATCATTTTCGCTCGAAACTTTTGCACATGTCGAGCGACTAAAAAACAATAATAGATAAACAAAACAATCTTGTTTTAAACTCAATCTCTAGCATAAATTTTATGCTACCTAAATGTTTGTTAAGCTCTACATGAATTTTTACGTGTAATTAGCAAATTGCAACTCCATTCAGCATAGGTTTACTTCCCGGACTGACGCTTTATCATTCAAATCAATTCCAAAGCAAATCAATTATTTGCTACGAAAAAGCAAAGCAAAAAAACCTTACCGCTCCTCGAAGACACGATCTGCTTTTTGCACTCGTCGGCGGTTTGCGACATCACACAACTAAAACACAAAATTTGTCCAAGATCACCAGAAAGCTAGAAGGTAAAACGAAAATGGAAAGAAAAAAAATAAGATTATTGTTGCCTGTTCAATATCCGACGGGTAAATGTTAATTGCACAAAATATTCAGCTGAGCAACTAAAGATCTTCAAAAACACGGCACTTAGCGGTGTATTAGGTTACTAATAATTACTAATAGGTTCACTTAGGTTACTTACCTTGGGATTACTTTGGGCGGACTTTTTGTGGCCAAGGGGGCACCGGGGTGGGGTCGCTTCAAATGTATAGTCCGACTCCTTTAAACGCTTTAAAAAAAAAGATTTTCAGTCATTGCATCAAATTGTATTTAAGTAGAGTTCATTAAGTCATTTTACACCAGCACCTCTACTCCAACCGCTCCACCAACAGTGCCACTAAGTTCGAAGTTTCAAAGTTTCGAAGAAAACAAAAGTTTTGCCCGTAGTGGATCCGAACTCGCGGCCAAAAAGCAAAAAGAAGAATGGGTAAGTGTGCACTTACCACTGCACTATTTGGGCACATTTCGAGACATCGGAGACGTTAGAACTCAACTTTTCGATCGATAAAGTCACCTGCCATTAGACGCACGTGTGTCACGATTGTGCGGTGAAATGTGTGTGCTGTGAAATGAGTGGCCGCGAAATGAGTATTATCTTTACAAAATTATATTACAGAAGTAAATGCAATGATTCTCAAGCAAATTCCGTACATCCACCATTTTAGAATTGGAATCTACCGCATTTTTGCGGTAGATTGAAGAGCCCCTTTTCGAAGAGCCCTTTTCGACGAAATTTTTCAACTCTCGATTAGCGAAATGCTCAACTTTTAAAAGAGTTTTTAAAAGGCTTTTTAAAAGACTTTGAAAAGCTTTAAATAATAGTTATAGTCTTTTAAAAAAGTCTAAACAAGCTTAATGACGTCGAAAAGCGGATGAGAATCCAAAAAAAAAACATCGATTTTTGAGCTCTTGAAAATTTGGGTATCTGTAGCTAGAGAAATAAAAAGAATTTTAGAGACACATTGAAAAATCGAAGAGTCAGCCGGCTCTTCTATTCGAATGTTTACGGGATTTGGGTAAATTCGATTGAAACGATCAATCGATCAATCTGCTTTGTTAAAAGCAGCAAAATCTTTTTGTTTTCATTGTGTTTTCGTCTTTTTTGTTGTTATCAATTTATTTATTCCAAATACTTCCAAATATTTATTCCAATTTTGTTAATGAGAATTAAATGAGATCATAAAGTTTGAAAATAATCAAAAATAACCCGTAAAATTATGAAAGCACCAATTGCTCACTTACAAGTCTCATGCGCGAAATCGAATTGCGTCTGCTTTGCAGCAAGGACGACGTAGGGAGGCATGAAATCTTTCATGTGCTTTCTGAAAATGAGAATTTTAGATGGTTTTTTGTTGTTCTTTGTTGTTTTTTTTTTGTTGTTTTCTTGTTTTCTTGTTGTTTCTTTCTTGTTTTGCATGTATCCAAGGAAATAAAAACGCCTAAAACAGCGCCAGGCAAAAAAAAAAACAAAATTATTTTCTAGACATTTTTGCTTTTGCTTTTGCTTTTCTTTTGCTTTTGCTTTTTCTTTTGCTTTTGCTTTTGCTTTTTCTTTTTCTTAGCTTAGCTTAGCTTGGCTTGGCTTGGCTTGGCTTGGCTTAGCTTAGCTTAACTTGGCTTGGCTTAGCTTAGCTTAACTTGGCTTAGGCTTAGCTTAGCTTAACTTGGCTTGACTTAGCTTAACTGTTTGTGATAACTTAAAGCAAGAGAGCTAATGGAAATCGTTGATTGGCGTTGGTGAATGCTCTGCTCTGAATTTAAAACCGGTGTTCAAAGGCAAGCTGCTATAAAAAGTTCTTTATTCTAAAAATTCAAAAGTTCTTTATTCTTTGCTGTTTTTCACTTTTTCTGTCGAATCTTTGTGTTTTTAGGGTAAAAAGAGGCGGAGAATTCGATTTTTTAAAAAGTTTTACCCATAGAAACTCACGGTAACGATTTATTAAAAGTGATTTTAAACCAAAAAAAAAATCCCAAACCTAATTTCACTTTAAGGTGTACTTTGTTTTCTTTTTGTACTTTGAAATTTTCCACAAACACCCCTTCCTGGCGCACTGGACTGGACTCAATACTGAGCTACGAATTGAGTGTGTGCATCAGAAAGAGGGGGTTTCGGGATGTTTTTTTTCCGTATAAAGTACATTTCGAACTTGTCCCCGTACTCACCTGCAATATTTGCATTGTGCCCGAAAAACTTCTTGATATTTGCCCAATTGCATGAAGAGGTTCTTCATCGCATTTGACGTCAAATATGGATGAATTGTCTGGAAAATGTTGATAGATTTCGATTTTTTTTTTCATGACTTACATGAGTGAGCTGAACGTTTCCCTGAATCGTGAGCTTTCGGAAAATTAAATATTGGCTTTCCTTGGTTAGATCGACCTGAAAAACGGTTTAAATTGAAGAAAACGGGTTTCATTTAATTGATTGTGCTTAAATCTTGTAAAAAACCTGGTTTCTAGTGCACACAACTCGTGCACCAGGAAATGTGCGTTTAAAAAATTTTAGCCCAAAGTACACAGAGAGTCAAAAAGAGTTTCTTTTGCCAGCTTACCCTTTTTTCTCCCATTTCCTCGTTGTACGCCCATTCCTCGTGTGGAGCGATGAATTGAAGGCTCTCGAAATACCCGAATTCCTCCACCAATAACATCTTTTGTGAGCAGATGAACGTGTTCTTCTGTGTCGGGCAAAAGAAGCCAAATTTGAGCTGAAAAAAAGTTCGAATTTGATTCAAGCATTAATTTTAGTGAAAACATTGAAAATTTGGGTATAAAAGTTTTTTCGAAAAGTTCAAGATCACCAATTTTCGTGCTATCATATCCCCAACTTTTCAAAATGCAAATTGAGCTTTATGAAACAATTTGCATTTATCTTTTTAAGTTATCCAATCACATTCACAGCTGTTACCTCAATAATCGATGACATACTGTTTTGTTCCAAATATGTGGGCACGATTCCCGATCGAGGCTTCATGTTTTTCAAATCGAGTTGAAGCTGAAATTCAGGAGTTAGTTTTGCTCAACCACACTACTTTACTTAAAGGGGAGGGGGGTATTAATCGCGGCCGGCTGACAATAAAATTTTTTTTACGGCAACCACCTGTTTTTTTATTTTAATATCGCTGATTTTATTATAAAAAGAATAAAAATCACCCGGCTAGAGTGATTTGATGGGTTTACAAATTTTTGGAGACACTGCAAGGCTTGGAGAAAAACAAGATCGTCACTCATTGATATAAAAAGCATCAAATAAAACAAAATGATAGCTATCGGCGAAAAAATTTTTCACTTGGAATCGGCCTCGATTCTTACGCTTCCTTTAATGAAAAACAAAAACAGGGAAAAGGCAAGAAATTCAAAAGATCTCAAAACTGACTTTTTTGGCTAAAAGACCACGAAACTTTCAAGAAACCAAGTTTCAGAGAAAGAGCCTGTTTCTTACAGAATACACTCACATTCTTATTGTAATTTTTACAATAATCATAAAGTAATGAAGAGCTACTTTTGCACAAATCGTCTTTTTGCTTACAGCTTGCAACTTTCCCAAATCCATAAACAAACACAATCAAACCTGTGCAAAAGCTGCCTCGAAAAGCTTATGCGGATGTTTGTTCGCATCCTCGGCTCCCCAATTCGAATACGGCAAATGTTTCGGGATCATCGCCGTCGTTTTTCGACTGTACGGTCGATAGCGGTGAAACTCGGTGAGATACACGTAACGAGTCTGAAAAAATGTTGTTGATAAATAATTGAAATTGAATTTAGATTTAATATCGTCGAGCATCGAACTTACAAATATGCATTCGGTCCAATTGGTTGTGTCGATGAAACTCTCGACAAGCTCGTGGGTGTTCAGATCGTTTTGCTCTTCCTGAAATGGAGTTCGAAAACAAAGGTTCTTGCAATTCTTCTCCATATGAATTTGCATTTTTAAATTACAAACTCTGAACTTTTTCCACTTCAGTTTCAATTAGAACCCAAGCAGCTTCAACCTTATTTTTTGGGAGTTATCTTCTCCCCTCCACAAACCTGATAAATGCTCTTCAGCAGATCCATCTTCTCCATCGCTCCCGCGACATTCGGTGGCAATTGTTTAGCATAATTTTCGATTTGCTCGTAGAAGCGAGTGACTTCTTGCATTCTCTCGAGAGCGCTCGGATCGGGTTGACCGGATTCGGTCTCGAAGATCGCCTCATCCGCCCGTAAAGCATAGTGACGAAGTTTTCGAATGAAATAGATGCCTGTAAAATGGGGATTCATGAAATTTTCCTTAAGTTGCGCATAAACTAGGAAAAACTTATTTTAAATTTGACGCAAAAAAATTCAACGTACAATCGCCTACGTTCGGCTTCTTCACCGTACCATCTTTGTAGTTTTGCTGGGACATGTTTGGATGAAGTGAAAGGTGAAAAATTGATCAGAATTAGTTGCGCTAAATATATAAATTCATGAATTCGTCAGAGAATAAGCGGTAAGGACACTTTGTTTCATTGAATAAACGTCAATGAGAGTATCGTTGCGTTCATTTCTGCCATGGTTGACCAAGAAACATTTTTTACAGCGCCGTCAGCAGCCGAAAAATACAAAGCACTGCTTTTTCTTAAAAACGCTCAAAATAGCGCTTAAGTCCGGAGTCCCTGCTGACGGAATTCAACCAAATTGCACGATTTTCTCCAAGTATGAATCCGAATTACGCTTGAACAAAAAATTGTATTTTTCCATCACAACGTAATCTAATATTTATTTACACAATGCTATTAACATTACCAAACTTTACTAAAAGAAACCGTACATAATAATCAACTAGAAATTAGACAAAAATTAACTTTAATAATTCTTCTGAATCGTTTTCTCGTCAGGCAGTTTCGTTTGAATCGATGAGATTTGCTCATCCCAGTCCTAAAAGAAACGAATTGAGAAGATATCGATAAAGATGTCTAAAGTTCTTTTAATAAAATTATGATTTTCATCTCGGTTGCTTAAGCTAAAATATGGTTGGAGAACACGACGCGTCAGAATGCATAAAATTGTCTAATTAATCTGACACACCCTTTCATAAATTTTACGTTCTGTCAGACCGTACTTACAGATTAATTACGATCGTGTAATTTTTAGCACACTTAGCCTAACTACTAATTAAGATAAGGTTAACTACTAGCCTTTCTAAAGTAATTTTAAACGCTGAGCAATAAAAATCTTTCAAACCTTCTCAATCTTGGACCAATGCTGAAGCAATTCTTTCTTGCGTTGCTCACGGCGATTGAAGTAGTACGGGAATTGTTCTTTCTCTGGTAGTGTCCATTGCGTACTGTCCAAGATGTCGTCCCTCGACTCCCGTTCACGATCGTAGGAAGAACCTAAAGCAAAGAAATATTCAAGGCAATTTAAATCACATGTTTTTCTAGCTTAACCAACATTACTTTACGATTTTTAACATTAAATCAACAAAACTGGTACTACGAGCACCATTGGCACTCCTATTCGTGCACTTTCACGTCCAAAGCAATACAGGTATTTTATCTCTCAGGTTGTTGACAAAAAAGGTAATCTTTCAAATTAAAAAACCTCCGGGATCCATTGCAAATCGGAAGGGCTTAAAGTGGCGCTTTTCCCAAAGTTGTCGACATCCATCAGCCAATAGCAGTTGAGACTTCCTCGTATCCTAAATGAAAAAATTAATTAAACAACGGTAGGTTCTTTAGCAAAATTTCTGTTTTCAATCAAATTGATTTATAAACGTTCATTATGCTCTTTAAATTCGAAAGATATTGCAAGAATTTTAGGATTAACTTTCTTCAACAAACAAGTTCTTCCATCAAATATTTAAGTAGAAGGATATCGTGTGCTTTAACTTCAAAATCAAAAATGGGAACTTTTAAGTTTCTAATTAAGGTATGTTTCAGTCAACGCGCAACTTGAGAATTCTAAAGTGCATTTGCGATTGTTCTGCAACAATAACATGAGGCTTGTGATACTAAAAATATTTTTTCCATCATAATTTGAATAAACGATGATATTTGAATGAACTTCAAATTGCCTAAAGGACTAATTTTGCTATATTTCCTTTAATACAGTGGGATGTTTATTTTATTTGCTGCTCGCAAATATTCTACTCAAATAAAAATGCCATTCAATTAGAGGAAATGCAATATTTTCACCCAAACGCACTTGTTCTTCCTTGTTTGCGTCGAATCGAGCCCTCATGATGACCTTCTGAAAGCGCACCTCCAGCAAGCTGCCTCCGTACCAGTTGTCGATCTCACGAAGCGAGCGCTTGTAGAGCCGGCACACCTAAAGTTGAAAAATTAGTACACAACTAATTAATAAATTAATCTCGACCCTTTTATTCTACGAAATAAACTATTTAAATCGTCGGCTCCGAGTAATGCATTGTCCAAAAACAGTATCTTGCTTCTGTATAGCTTCCGTGTCTTTTTAAAAGCTTTTAAAAACCTCATGTCCGTCATCATTGCTTGCCAAGCTAAATATTTCTTACCTTCTGTCGATGTGAAAGCGCCTTTGTAAACATCCATGCCGGCGATTCAGCCATCTTGGCGGACTACCCGTCAAGCGCAAATGCACCTAAATTTATGTAATAAAAATTGAAAGACCCGGGGCAAATTAATGGAAAAAACACATAAATCAACAAGAGAAACAAAGTCTAAAAATTTCTACAAAAACAAACTTTTCAACATCAACGAACAACTATAATTCTATGCCCTATACGACCAAAACAATCAATAAATCATAACATTGAAGTGAACCTCAATACAAACTTAATAAATTAAAGTTGAACATTAAGATTTTTAAAAAAAATCTAATTAAACAACTTTAGATGTTGAATGAAAAATTTACTAACATCGTCCAACAAAGAAAGCATTATCCTATCAAGGTTCACTTCTCTCAAAATGTAAAAGCTTCTAGTATCTTGGCGGTGCAATCGGGTAACTCTTTGGAATCGATCTCCACTCCTTTTCTGTTCGCTTAAAGACGATTTGTCGTGTGAAATGTCCCATCTTTTGCTTTTCCCTCAATTCTTTCACTGCTTGTCGTTCTGCGGGCGGTTTCAGAAGTTCCTCAAGATTACATTCGATCGGTTCTTTTTCCTCATTCGTCACAATTCCGACGTGCACTGTGTCCAAGTCTTGCCTCAAAATGCTGTCCACCGATTCGCGCATTTCTCGTGACATGTGTGTCCAGAAAAGGAACATGTTTGATGTGTAGACTTTCTCATTCGTTTGTTTGGCTATCCGGCGGTAGGCGAGATCACGATGTCCAAGTGATTCGACCTTTTCAATGACAGCTCCTTGATTGAGTAGAGTATTGCCAGCCCGTACGAGTGCCTTCACGAGATCGGCCTTTGATAACGAGCGAGTGATGAGCGTCAACTCGTAGAAGGGCATCGTTTCGATACCTAAAAAGGAAAGATTAATCACGGTTTGAGAAATAGAACAGAGATAAAAAGGGCAAAAAATAAGCTATCTCTCGACTTTAAAGGATTCAATGCGTTAGATACATTTGTTTAAAGATGGATTTGTTACTGCTATACAATAAAACGTTTGCTAAATCATCATGAAAGGATCCGATTCGTAAAAAAACATTTTTTCAAATGTTCTGCTGAAAAATCGTTTTTAATCGTCGACAAAATCATCATACTAGGCTCGATTACCGGTGCAAAGCATTAGAACAAAAGAAATTTTATCTGGGACAAGGTTTTCAACAAAATAAACAGTATAATTCCAAAGGTACATCGCTTTTCCAACGTAAAGAACAAGGATTTTCGTTTGTGCTATACAGGAAAATGCGATTCGCCTTCGCTATTCGAGCGTTCTTTGATAAACCTCGTACGGGAGCTTAGAACTTATATGAAAGCAGACACTTAACCAACTCAATCTCGTGAGAAAAATGACAAAATGGCAAGAAAATTTGGGATTATGCCAATACCGCACCGCCATTTGCGCGCACGTGAAAAACCGTCTTTTGCGTACAACAGGCCCCGCCCACTAACTTCAAGTACTAAAAGTTGCACCAAATGGCCCACATCGCTTCGATTGGGCCCAAATTTTTACAGCACCTTGCGATCACCTATGTCCATCTACTGTAAAATCGCCTATGTCCATCTAGCTTCATTATAAAAAAATTTAAGAGTGGCTTGAATTTTTTGTGCGCAAAAGACGCAATAAAAGACGTCTTTTGCGCACAAAAGCGAACAATGGCTTCCCAACTTTTTTAAAAATGAAGCTATGAAGCTGAAATTTTTACAGTAGATGGACATAGGCGATCACAAGGTGCTGTAAAATTTGGGCCCAATCGAAGCAATTTGGGTCATTTGGTGCAACTTTTAGCGCCTGAAGTTAGTGGGCGGGGCCTGTTGTGCGCAAAAGACGTTTTTTCACGTGCGCGCAAATGGCGGTGCGGTATTGTGCTAGTCCCGAAAATCTTCTTTTATAGCCAATTTACAAAATTTACATTGGATGCAACTTTTTCAATAGTTATGATAATTTTTCCCAGGAAAATCGATGTTTTTGTCTCGAGTTCTTACTTTTCAAGTTCAGGGAATACTTTTATTTCGATAAGTTACGCAAAAAAAATTTCTACATCAGGTTTCTTGTTGTTTTTCTCAGCAAACGGTGTGCTCTCGATTGTGAATGTGCTCGCGAATTCCCGGCAAATTGTGTACTCGAGTGATCATCGCCTGGAAATGGGTTTTTAAAAAAAAAAGTCTATTTCTTCGACACGAATAATGAATTACAACAGAAGGGAGGAAATTTTTACCCTTAGCTACCTCTTTTACTATTTGATTTGGATTTTTCATAAAAAAAATGATGGAAAATTGTCATTTTGACTTAGTTTATGGTCAAAACGATTTAATTTCAAAAGTTATCAATTCAGAAAGTTCCTTTTCTTTTTCAGAAGATTGAAATTTTTTTTTTTTCTATTTTTTTTTTTTTATTTTTTTTTTTAAAAAAAAAAAAAAAAAAAAAAAAAAAAAAAAAAAAAAAAAAAAAAAAAGGGGAGAGATGTGGTGTTTTTGATGTGAGGGGTGGGGTGAGAGGTTTCAAGTTTTCAGTTCTAAATTTGTCACCTTAATGTGTGGATAAGCGTCCAGCGAGCTTTCCTCTCCGTAATCGAGAAGACGACCGAAAGATTCCGCGGCGAACACATCGACCCAGGTTTCCTGAAAAGTGAAAGTACCGTATTTTTGAAAAATTTCTTATCCTTATCTTTTCATCTAACTTTTCGTTAACTATAATATCCTATAGAGTGTACTTTGAGCTATCCAAAAAGCCAGACACATCCCTTCTGGCGCACCCGACGCGTCACTTTCCTCACCACTCCCACTTGCTGCGATGAATCGAGTACGTCAGAAAGGGTGGATTACATTTACATTTACAATTCAGAGCACAAAGTTCACGTAATTATCAATATCCAACCTTATCCCCTAAAAATAGTCCATTGTTCCCATTCTCCATCAACATTTTCTCGATCAATGGCGCGTACTTCCCGATTCCTGGACGCACTTTTAGACGGAAATAGTCCTCCTGAAATGAGCTTGAGTGTTGATCTTGTGATTTGAGGAAGAGCGTCTCTCCCCTGAAGGGGCACAGGACTGTGGATTAGACATGGGCGCTAGAAACTACAAGACCGAACTATAAACGCTTGTAGAAACGAGTAGAATAGCTATTTTTACAAACTGTTTCTACCAAATTGAGCCAACTTTGGGCTTTTGAATGACACCAAGATCAGACCAATTCACCATCCAATTCACGATTCACGATCTTCGAGAACGTGCTATTTATAGCAGTTTGTCGTCCATTGGATAGGAAAAAACGAAAAGAAAACGTTATTTTTCAGCGCAGTGATGGCGAATTGGTCTGATCTTGATGCCAGTCGAAAGCCCAAAGTTGACTTTTGATTTTTTGGTGAAAACAGTTTTTAAAAATAGCCATTCTACGCGTTTCTACAAGTGTTTGTAGTCTGATCTTGTAGTTTGTAGTGCTCATGTCTACTGTGGACTGAATCCTAGCTACACACATTATATATGTTACGGCAGAATTCGACCACACGACAGAATCGGATTTTGCCGTCAGAATCCGATCACAAATTGTCTTGTGATCGAATTCTGATGACAGAATTCGATCGCATTCATGATAAATACTAATTAGCTAGATCTTAGCCAAGTTAAATGCTAATTAAGTAAATTTTAGTTTTTAATTTAAGTTGCAAATTAAAAAAGGAAATGTACAATTGCAAAACAAAGCTGAAAAACAAAGAATTTTGTGTCAAATCTGCTTTCTGGTTACTATTTACTTTACTTTCCTTTACTTTACTTTAGTTTCCTATATTTACTATTTACTATTTACTATTTACTATTTACTTATTACTATTATTATTATTATTTCTTATTACTAAATATTGTTTACTTTCTATTTGGAATATGAAAAAAGCATGTTCAAGGTAAAATGCATCAAAAAAGCAGTAATTAGTGCTATTTTAATCAAAAAGAGAAGACTAAGCACTCAAAAATCACCCAACAGATCTTTAATTTGTCTATTGAATAACTATTATTTTATAAAAACATCAAAATTCAGTCGAATGAATGAATTTCTCTTGAATGTGATCGGATTTTGTTATCGGGATCGGATCCTGACGACAGATTCTGATTCTGACGACACACACATCAACGTTAGAGGCTTATTCTCTCCATTGAACCAAGCAATGATCGTCTAATTTTGTCTACTAGTTAACTTATACTTATGAATTCAGAAATTTCAGATAAAAGAGCAAAATGAAAAGGAGATCCTTGAACTTTTGTCCTTGGAGGATAGGTGAGTTGCTAGCCTTGCTGGCCTTGCTGGGAAATCGATTCGATTCACTTGATCGATTCGATTCAATTTTGTGTGATTCAAAAAGAAAACAAAAAGAAATGACCGACTTTGATCATTTAAAAGGGATCAGATCAGAATCAGAATCAGAAAATCCTCACTTTTTGTAGTCAAAAATCGATCGGTCTTTTAGTTTTTAAGAAATCACAAATTTAAGTACCGCAAGAACTTGGGGAAAACCCGAATACAAAACAGTATTACTGCGAGAATTCTGTAGAATAAGCTTGTAGAAGTACAAGCAATTGTTTCAATATCAAATGAAGAGATTTGTGTAGATTGTACCTTATCCTGATGATCAACTCCCATCAACACATAGGC